CTCCGCAGCCCCCGCCCCGCCCCTCCGACCCCCATCCGCTCCCCGCTCACCCCGCCCAACGCTGGTCCCCGCTCCTCACCCTGAACGTGTCCGCCACGATCTCAGCTCCTCGGTGATTGGTCCACTTGGAGAGGCCTACGAAAAACTCCCGGCCTGAGCCCAGGAAGGCCGCGGAGGTTTGAGGGCGGGAATGAGTTAGAAACTAGGCCCGAGATGGCCCAGTCTCCCTAACTCTGCTTCCATGTGCCAAGCCCCAGGGATGCAGGCACCGCAGCCTCACCGGTGAAGAGAACATCAGTGCCGTCCAGCGTCGCGTTCTCGTCCCCCATCTCCACAATTCGGAGCCCCAGGTCCTGGAGGGCTTTGCGAACTCCATCGACCTTAGAGCAGAAGAAGAGAGAGCAGAGTTCAGACATTCCCACCCTCAATTCTTCCCTAAAGCCGCGGACGTCCAGATCCTCCATTTCCCCTACCCTCATCCGCGCCCTGGCGCTCACCTCCGGCCTGCGGGCGGGGCTCCAGGGCCGCGTGATTAGGGCCGTGTCCCCTTGGATCACGGCGGTGTCACCGAGCAGCGGTCCCAGCGGCAGCGACTCTTCAGGAGGCAGTTCTAGCAGCTGCAGCCCCAATCGCTGCCTCAGTTTACCCCCCAGCACTCCGTGCTCCCTCTGAGCTTTGGCCAGGTCCAGAGCCGGGAGGCCAGCCCCTGCACCCTCCCCCGACGCCAGGCTCTCCGGGACCCCCCGGATCAGGGCATGGGAGCAGCGGCCCAGCCCCTCCCCCGGCGTCCCCATCCCATTCACACAGACGCCCCCTCCGGCCGCGCTGATTTCTTAGTTTTCTCTTTTTACTTCACCTGTCTGGGAGAAGAGACAGAAAGGAGGGAGGCAGAGAAAGAGACATGCAGAGAAGGGCGTAGGGGGGTGGTTAAGAAAGCCCGGGTCTTCCTCCAGCCATCTCCAGGCGCCCCTCCCATTCCGCCCCACCCCCTCCAGACCTCCTCTCCTGCCGACCCCACTCCACCCCGCACCCTCGCGGGTCTGCTTCTTTAGAGAGAGTCCGAGGAACAAGTCCAGGATCCCTCATCTCCGAAACACCTGTTGCCCCTGCTTGGGGGCTTAATGAGGTCCCTGCCGGGCGCCCCTCTTGGCAGCCGCTAGGATGCGCTCACTCCCCAAAAATGCAGCGGCCCCGCCCCCTTAACCCTCAGCTGCTCGCTGCCGTAGGGACCCGATGTGCGGCGAGGGACCCACAGGGGTTATGGGACAGGAGGAGACAGCTGGGGGGAGAGTCAGGGCCTGGGGGATGGAAGTCCTGGATGTCCGAACGAGAAAGAGAGAGAGGGGCAAGGAGGGAGGAGTTAGAGACTAAGGAGTTAAACATCCTCTCTCCACCCCGGCCGGTCAATCTGCCCGTAGCGCGACCCAGTATAAACCAGACCGAGTCCCGGAGGACTGGGAGAGGTCTAAAACGAAATCCGAGAGGCGGGGAAACGGGGGGCGTGGTTCCGGGGAACGGGCGCTACTTCGGGCTCCAGGACCCGGTTCCCTGGTCTCCCGGTCCACCTTCCCCAAAGTCCATGCCACTCAGCTCCGCACCCAAATGTCGACCCACGCACTCTGTCTGGTTCAGGCACGGGCCCGGCACCCCCAAACTCCGGCCTCTACGCGGTCCAGGGGACACCTCCCACCCCAGACTCACCTCCAGCGGCCACCCCCACTCCTGTC